TGGTATTAAAAATTGAGGGAAATCAAGAAAAAAAAAAAAATCAAATAGCTCAAAAGAATGTTTTCCAGTGCTCTTTGCAGGACATGCCACTAAAGCACATTGTGTGTATTAAGATCAGAGTTCTGATGTATGTATTTATACTCGGCAGGAAAGTCTTTGTCAATAATGCAAGAGTTGTACAACAAGAGTGCTTAATGTTTTTCAGCATTGAGAATTCTTCGAATCATTCATCCCAGCTCCAGCCCTCCTCAGCAGACCCCGTTAAACTCTCTGACTCAGCAGACCCAAAGATCATTGCGTTCTGCCTGTGAGGGTTTGGTTGCAGTTACCAAGCATTGCATTTCAATTATTTGCAGAGAAGGCAATGAAAAATGCATGTGGACTTTATCTGCTGATCATTGAACCACTGAGATAAATCTAATGTTTTATAAGGTAAAATTATTTAAAGTTATCTTTGATATGGATCAATCATGCATTCAGGACTTAGTGAACACTCTTTGGTAGAACATCTAAAGATGGTAGAACAAGTAAAGATCATGTTCCATGAAGATATTTAGCAAATTTCCTACAGTAAATATATTAAAACGTCATTTTTGATTAGTAATATGCATTGCTAAGAACTTCATTCGGACAACTTTAAAGGCGATTTTCTCAATATTTAGATTTTTTTGCACCCTCAGATTCCAGATTTTCAAATAGGCACTACGTAAAAGTGCGAGGAGCTAGGGACAGTCCAAAGGCAAGGACCATGTATTGATATGCCACTCCCTCGAAGGCGAATCTCAAGAATTGTCTGTGGTGGGGGGCTATCTGGATGTGAAAGTAGGCGTCTTTCAGATCCAGCGAAAAGTACGAGTCCCCTGGGCACACTTGCGAGAGGATCTGTTTCAATGTAATCATCCTGAACAGCCGTTTCATGAAGGCTTGGTTCAGGTGCCTAAGATCGAGGATGGGCCTTAGATTTCCATCCTTTTTGGGGACAAGGAAATAGCGGCCTTGGAAGCCTGACTCGCTTTGAGCAGGGGGAACCGTTTCTACGGCTCCTATCGCCAGCAAATTCATCACCTCGGGGCACAGGACGTGTGCGTCTTTGCTCTAAACCGAGGTGGGAACCACGCCGCTGAATCGCGGGGGTCTTCGAACGAACAGCATTCTCTTTTTATCCACCTAAAAATATCAAACCACTCATTAGAACAGGAGTATAGTGTAAACAGAAGTGTAAACACTCAGGTAGATCAAAAGTGCTGAGCGCATTCTCTCAGATCCGCTCGTGGCGGACGAGGGGAGGGGCGGGGACATGAGCTCTCGTAGTGAGAGCGATCTGTCTCAGCGAGCGAAGCCTCAGCGTGGCCCAGGCGAGAGGTTCATTCAAATACGAAGCTGTCAGCGATATTGAATCATTGGTGGTAGCGTTCTGCTCTGATCGTCATAGAAGGATTGCACCGTTCGACAACGGGAGACGCCGATCCTCACGTGTAAACACACTGGCGGATCAAAGAGCTGCATGGAGAGTGATGCACGTGGGGGCTTTTGCCGGCGTTAAATCACTCATGCCTGATCGCTCATCCCCGCGAGTTCGCCCTTTCTTCCTCTGAGTAACTGGGAGGAGAGAAACACAAGAGCGGGGGAGGCAGGGCACAGCGACGCACGCACAAATGCGAAGCTGCCGGCGTTCTGCTTTGATCTGTCTAGGAGGATTAAACCGCTCGGTGTAATGAGGGGCACTGATCCTCACGTGTAACA